CCCCTATAATTACGGTCCCTATAATTACGATTCCTATAAAACTACGAAAAAATATACGTATTTTGGAAATGTTGAGTCGGATTAGTGTAGAATCGATTAATTTTATGGAAGAAAACCTTTCAATCAGCCGTAGTCCGTAAACTTGACACGTGTCGGGCTGTGATTGGAACGACTTGTAAGAAATCGGATTCGTAATAAATTGGAACGTATCTATATCTTATACGGGGGTCGACTGTAATGGGCTAATGGGGTACATCAGCAAAAAAGGTTTAGAACCGCTGACCTAACTTAATCCTGTATAACTTTATATTAAATATAAGAAAAAAATACTACTTACTATGGATGTTACCAATTTAACTTTAAAAGAATTAGCAACATTGGCTGCATTCAATCAAGCCATTCACCCTCATTATCTACCTGTTATCTTTGGTGTTGCACAGTTTGGACTTTTCATGAACATTTTTAAGCCTGATTCTGACATAATTTTGAAAAACAAACCAAATGAAGTACCTAGTAATGATGCATAAAGAGTGTTACAAAAAAAAGAGAGAAAATTATTCAAACAACACAGAATAATTTTTCTCTCTTTTAGTGTAATCATTTCAAAAGTTAATTGCAAAGTAAAGTAATAAAAATTAAGGTTTAATAGTAACTTTTCATTTCATCCTCCTATAGTTTTTGTGGATTTTATGGCCTATTATTAAGTCAGTCTAAATGCTTTTTAAGTAAATTATTATTATTATTATATTTTTATTATTTCCTGATTATCACTTACTGAATCCACACTAATTTTCTGGAATGTATTAACTGCATTAAGCAGAGTATTCCTGTATTATTCAATAGCATCTACTCTTGAAAATTTTAAGCAAAGAATGTTACATAATTTATCATTTTAAACATATTTTATTAATGTAATTAAGCAAATTTTAAAATCAATATATTTTTTCATAAAAAACACATATTACAAGTAAATAAATATATGAATATTAGAATCATATTAAAATTAATACCAACCATACATATCAGGCACTTCATTTTCTCTCCTACTTTTTGCTGTTCTTCTAATTCTTTGATTTTTTCTTTCAAAGAAGTAATAACTTGCTCTGATGTATCATCATTTTCACTAAAAATATTTCTTAAATTTAATTATCAAGATAGTCTGAAGATTATATAATATACAAAAATAATAGTTTATATAAAGTTTTCAAAAAAAAAAAAAAACATGTTTCCATCAATAGAACCCTTCCACAACATAAATGAACTATGATTAAAATATATAAATGTGTAAACAAAATTAAATTATATATACAACAAATGTATAATCAAAATTCAATTAGTTTTAATTTTATTAATTGAAAAAGTTAGAATTTTGATAATAAGAAAATCATATTTATTCAGCACATATATTCTGGATATCAGTTAGTTACATTCCTTCAATAAAGTCTCTGCCCATCTGTAGGACAGATTACTATAATTTTGGAAGACATTCAATGCCACCAGCAGACAGACTGCACAGTGGCAGATGTCAACAGAACTATTGCAAGTATAATTTCTTATTTTGATTTTTGAAGTGTTCTTTGTGAATTGTTCCTTCACATTGCAAAAAAGATCTGTTATATGGGCTCAGATCAAGGGAGTATGGAAGATGTTCCAAACGTTCCATATGCCACTGAACTAACACATCCTTTACCAAAGCTAAAATATGGTAACACGCATTTTCATGCAAGACAATGAAAAGGTCTCATGAACTGTATGTAGTCTTTTCTTCCATAATGCTTTTTAATGATAATTCTCCAAAAATATATAATATTGTGCATAAACAGTCTGTCCGGTAGGCACAGTCTGACTCAAAATGACATCTTAAAAGTAATACACCATAATGAACACAAGTCTGAACTGAGAAGTTAGCAATAGCCTATTGCACTGAGGAACCCAGACTGAATCTGTATTGGTCAAAAAAACCTCAGAACTTTTTCAAAGGGTGATCCATCCAGATACATTGGACCCCATCCCTCACCTCCTGGCTGCCTCATTAAAGACCTGGCCAAACCCATAATGTCTTTAACCTGAACCTAAAAAAGTCTTCTTATTGTCCATAGGGCAGAACAAGTTAAAAGTGAAAAATATTATAACAAATATTGCCTTGGTTTTTTCCTGGTTCCTAGTGACTCTTCTTGAGTAGGGAATGATGAAGAATGATACACTTCATTGAGTTGTCATCTAAGTTCAGGCACATACAATTCTATGTTTCATTAATAGCAATAATACAATGTATGAATAAATCTTTTTCCTTTTCATAATATTCAAGATGCAATCTCACAACTTTGTAGCAGGCCATTTTGTTGTTCAATGAAATGAGGAGGAAGCCAACAAGCTTTAAATTTTCTCATCTGTAATTTGGTATTTTTAATTATTGTATGCATCAGTACAACTACAAGAGATGGAATTATCCACCTTCCATCTCTTTCCAAAAATGATGCCTCTATTTCTATCTGCAGTTCATCCACAGATGTCCCTGACTACATGTAACTCATTCTTGTCCTCTTCTGGATTGTTGTACCCACCTTGCAATAGTTCTATACAATAGACTCATCTCTACAAGCTTTCCTAAGACTTTTGTAACATTCATTCATTGTTCAGTCTGGGCCATTTCACATTTCAATATTTAGCCAAGAAAATTGCTATCTTTGAAGGAAATGTTTAGGCCAGTCATTCAAACACCAATCATATTTTATTTGATCGTACTGCTGTATATGTAACAAGACAATAAACCCCCCTTGATAAAATCCCCACGTAAAAACCTCTACACACAATAACCCGCTGGGATATAATTCTCCAACAATAACCCCTGGATAAAAACCCTCCATATTGAAACCCCTCTGTGTAAAAATAAAAGTTTCTTTGAAAGTTATTTAACATGACAAAATGCTGATACAAATTTTTAAATAATACTAAAAGTTAATGTGCACATTTCAGAGAAAACAAATTATCAATTGCAGCATTTATAGTTGAAATATTGAAGTTCCTGATAAAAACTGTAATTTAATATTATTATTTACAATATTAGTTATAGAGAAAATTTGTGTGGTATCCAACATAGATAGTTCATAATGCTACAATTGCAAAGCTGCAAATGATGGTAAGAATCTGTGTATTTGAATTAGCACATTTCTTTCTTTATGCTTGTGATGGATGACCAGCCTGAATTTGATTGGGTAAACTTGTTGTAATGCTTGTTTTATTTGAAGAAATCCAATGAATTTCCAAATGGTGAGATGGAAAATTCCAACGTTGAAGTGAAAACATCTGTGCCATCCTTCCACTGAACTGTTTGTTTTTGTTGATACATATTTCACATCTAAATGGCATATATTGGTTGTCGTTGTCTACAACATGGTCTTCCAATGTAGGAATCTTTCAAAATAATCTATGATAGGCATGATTTCTTGAGGTAGAAATGCTGACAAGTTCTCCGAAAGCTCTAATAACTTCATCTGTCAGTATAAATGTAAGAGCTGGATCATTCCTAAATCTGTCAAAGTCACAATCTTCTTGGTATCATTGTTGCAGACCATTCTCTTGAATCTTCTGGTAAATGTTCTGACTTAGATGAAAGAAACCTTTAATTTCACAGTCTGGAAAAACTCTTTTTAAACTGTTTGTAACTGCCAATTCAAAATCAATTGATATTTGTTGGCCTCAAATTGACATTTACTGTTACTAATTTCTCAAACAGCTCAATATATGTATCCTAAGTTATATTCTGCAATAATGCATAAACACATGGAATGATTCATCCATTTAATATGGCTGAATGGTATAAAGTTGAACAAAAAGTGTAGGAGCTGTTTTGAAAGTCCCATCCAGAAACCAATGACACATTATTTTCAAGAGTCTAAGATTCTCATATGTTCCAATGATTAACATTCTGTTGTTATTGTTTGAATCAGAATCAAACAGAAAGAAACCTTGACCATTATATGCAACTTTGAAGCAATCTGGGATGATAATTTCAACAATATTCAATGGAACAGATAGAAGATTATTTGACAGCTTGATGTCGACATCTGATATTTTGTATATTTTTTAGCATAGGGGATGAAGACCTAGGACTACTCATGGGTATTGCCTGGGAGTGAAAAGAAGATAGAAAAGAGTTTAAGAGAAGAGGCGAAGGTGAAAAAAATAAAGTGAGATAGGAAAGGGGATGCCCATGGCATCTGCATCGGCATTTATTTACAAAATAAATATCTACAGAAAGATAAAACATATGTACAATGAGTCTTCCTGAAGCTTACAGGAAGTTACAAAAAGCAATACATAATTTTAACAGTTTGAGAAACGCAGACAAGTAAATAAAAATTGTAATTACATAAAAATCATGTCAATCAAAAATAAAATAACATCAAAATTAGCTTATGAAAAACATAAAAAGTTTACAATTATGTACAGTACATGTTGGCACATTGCAGAGGTCACGTTGCAGGATGACCATAATTCATGGCATTTAAAGTTTACATAGACATTAAACACTAAACACTTGAAACACAAGTATACAATGATAAAAGAAAAGATTTAGTAACTTTTACATATATAAGAGTCTGATTTGACTTGCCTGGAGAATTATGTCCTGTTGAAATTCACATCTGATATTGTGACATAAATGATGAAATATAAGCAAACTGGCTTTTGCATCTTCACTTATCATTAAAACAGATTGCATGATTATTTTCTGTGGCACTTCTTAAATTTCTTCCACCAGTCTTTTAATTTGTTAAACTGCTTTGAGATCTTGTGCTGGACCTGGACCATGAGAATGATTGTTTAATCATCCCACCAGCTGTTTTCCAAAGATTTTAATTTTAGTTTTGCATTTAACCTTGTTACATCTTTCACATTCAAACAATACATCATTTGCCAAATTTTTCTGCTTTATATAAGCATAATCTTCAAAAACCACTTTATCCTTTCCTTTATTAGATTTTACAAATTTTATCATAGATTATATATACATACATACATGTAAAAAAACACTTTATTTCAAAAACTATCAAGACCAATATGAACCAGTGCAGCAATGTTTACTTGGTTACTATATCCACAGGGCATAAAGAAAACTTCAACTTTCTTGAATTGTAAACTCCATGATTGATTTGCATAAACTTGATTAATAATACATATATTTGCTACAGTGGTTTGTAAAATAACTTTAAGATGTTTTTTTAACACATTTTTCATTTTAAATTTTTTATTGTTTCTTGTTTTGAACTTGTTGTGAGTTGGAGAAAGGAGTTAGCAGGATGAAGCTCTAAATGGTTTAGATGCTTTGTCTAAAGATATGGGAGTCCTAAAATGTTCATTCACAATGCATTATATATTATATTAACTAACTATTGCCAAATTCTCAAAACATAAAAAAATATTTAATGTTATTTATTTATCTATTGAAGTGTTTCATGGAATAATAAGTTTTATCAAATTAAGAGTGTAAGGTCAGGCTATAATTAGCAAATCATATTTGATTTAATCTACTGACATTTAAAATTGGGGTTTATTCTCTGANTGTTTCTGCAATATAAAAGGAATAAAGTGGGGTTGGACCATCCTTTTTGGGCTATTCCATACATAAACATATAAATTTTCCAAAAAGTACTTTTGGTATTGGCTAAACTTAAAATATTACAATTAGTATATTGATAAACTAGAATGAAAATTCATTAAAAAATTTATTTGTGGTTGGAAGTCATAAGCAACTAAACTGAAACTTAAATTTATTTTTTGCATTTTCTTTCTAAGAATATATTTTTAGTGAATTTTTATCCTGGTTTGTTAATACACAATTTGCAATTTTTTTAAATTTAATCAACACTAAATGATAATTTACACAATGAGTTGAAGATGAATCTAAACAGAAAGATCAATTCTGCTTTGTGATTTTAAGTGTTTTGTAATAAGACAAACTGTAAAGATTTTGTTACATTGTATTTTTTAATGAATTTCTGTCCTTTATTTTAAAATTACACAAAACTGTAAAAGTTATTTTTTCAGAAAATGGATTAAGAACCTTAAACATAACACTTATGATAATCAGATAAGCAATTTCACAGATTTTAAATTTAATACTGACAACTATTTCTCTCTAAATCACTTTTTACATTAGTTTGCATATCAGCACAATAAACTAATAACAAAAAAATTAGATTGTTTTTTATTTATTTTTTTAAGATATACAAACATATTTTATATATCATATTGTACTTGTTANTTTCGCTAGTGCTGTGGTGCTGCAATCTTTGGCTGTATCTTGGGCTACTCCAATATTTTTTTTGTTGGTGTGTGTGTGTTTCAGCTGGCAGCACTGGCACTTTTGTGTGGTGTTTTTCTGAGGACTTTGTGTCATGCTGAATCGAACATTTTTGATACTAGATCAACTTCTAAAGTATATAATTTTTTTTGGTTTCTATATTTTTCAATATATTTATTTTGTTTGTAAGAAATAAAGAAATAATTTTTAACGATACAATAGCCACAATTATTATTTTAAAAAGTTTACATTAGGCTTAACATCAACACAACAGAGAAAAATTTCAACATGGGATAGGTTAATATATTTTTTCATACATAATCAGTTATCCGAAAAATAAGTTATCTGAACAACCTCAATCCCAACTGATTTGGATAAATGACGCTCTACTGTATTTATTTTATGGCTTTTGCATTGTGTTTCTAATTTGTTACTTAATAAAATTTATTATTTAAAAATTTTTCTCTACATAAATTCATGGTGTCTTAGAATTGGAAAAAATACAGTAAAAGAAAATAAGATTATATATAAACTTGTCACAAACCTGTCAACATGATTATCTGCACTCACTTCTTTCTCATCAATACCATCATCTGTGAAAAAAAAAACAATTTTAAAAAGAAAAATATAATGTAACATCTTTAATAACTGATAAAAAAAATTATCATTTGATCTTTAAACTGCTTACTTGAATTAACTGTTAAATATTTCTTATTCCTAAATCTTACTGTTAAATGTATTCATTAAATAAATTTACTTTTGATTGCAATAATCTACTGCAGTGGTTCCCAATTAGTTTTTCCTACGTACCACTTCAATAAAGAGGTGAAACTCGCATACCCCTTATAGCAGAAATCCATATTAATCCATACTAATATTATAAATTCGAAGGTAATTCTGTCTGTCTGTTACCTTTTCACGTCTAAACTGCTAAACAGGTTTTAATAAAATTTGGCACAGATAGCTTACGCGTTGGAGATGGACATAGGCTACANCTGCATAAAGAAACACGGGGATAATAAGAAGTCTAGTGTTTTAAAGGTTCAAACCATACAAAAATTTGTAATTTAATGGATGACAAGTAAAATGGGCAAAGGAATTTTATGGTTTCAATTTTCAATAATCTGTAATCTAAAAGGTATGTTTTTAAAAAACATGACCTTATATGTTTGTTTATACTGTTGTAACTTGTGAACTTTTATTTTAGTTGGCTGAAGAGGGGCAAGGAATGCCCGAAACATGTACAAATGAGATGAACACATATCAACTGAATAAAATTTAATAATGAGATTTGTCAAGTGTCTGAAAAATACAATAAATAATTTGTGTTTGAATTACTAAAAATTACTGGCATGGTTTCAAAAATACCAGAATATAAATTAATTCTATTCAAATCAAATTTGACACATTAAATTCTCATTTTACATATGTAATAATTTTTATTAAGTTAAATAAATGGTTTTCATTATTAAAACTGCTGATTACTGCCACTTATATAATAAAAATTATCAGCTTAAAATATTAAGAACACCATTTAATTTTTGTTAGAAACAAATAAATTTATATATTTTTTCTATATGATCAGATATTTAGTGTTTTTGTATACAGGAATATCTTGCTTAACAAACCTTCATTTATTGAGGATTCACTATAACATAGCTTCTAATATGGAGTGATTCATTATGATAACATCACTAATATTATATATATAACTATATTTTTAAAATAAATTTTAATGAAAAATTGAATAGATGTAAGTAACTAATAAAAAGGGATCTAAACTATTACATATGTTATTGATTTGTAAATTTATTTTAATATAAAGTTGCACATGAATACCTAACTCAGTGGTTCTCATTCGGGGGTACAAGCATAAATTGAAGGGGTACATCTAACTTTCATTATAAAATGGCATATGTTAATCAATTTGCTGTAAATTATTAACACAAGGAACAAGAAACGACAAAAACTTGCTTTAAAATATCCCAGTGTGAACACCGATTTCCCTTTTAACAGTCTAAACAACTTGTTTATCCACTTGATTTGCCTGTCTATTTATGCCATTACTGTTGAGTGAACCTGTAGTCTAGTAAAATTACGGTTTAACCGAGCATTAATTATTGCTCAATAAGATTGGGGCTTTTCATGTTTTTACTGGACTACTGGTATTAGGAAAAATGAGGCCTGAATTGTATCCCCACCATGCAATGCATGTCACTGCGTGCGCACATTACTTGATATTTAGCATATTTATACATTATGTTTGTTACAAAATTTGAAAGATTCATGTATTATTCTGCATGTTATAAATTCACAGCCATTACTTTCAAGGTCAGTACACAATTATAATCTCTATTTAACAATGTGGGAACCAAATTTTGAAAAAATTGCTGAAGATTTATTGCAACAAATATTCCATTAAATTTTGTTAGAAATTATTGTAGAATAATTTAAATTTTCTTTATTGTTAATTATAATTATTTATTTTTAGGAAATGTAATTTATGCATGTATTGAAATGACTTCTGCAATTTTATATAATATACTTATCAAATAATAATAAATAAATGTATGTACCTAATTAAATTTATTATTATTTACATAAAATAAGTAATTCA